GTGCAAACAGGGGCTTAATGTTTTCACATAAGAGTCACACAACTTTCTTCAAGAATGCACACAATTTTACAATTCAATCCCGTTAGAAAAATTTATGCTATTAATTAATGTAGCCCTTAGTCTACAGTGCAGCTCTGTCCTGGGGCAGGGACTGTGCTACTGTCACTGCTGCTGACCTTTCCTTCCTCTCCTCCTCTCAAGCTGTTAAGGACTGTATGCAGCCACAAAGAAAGCTGGAGGAAAGCCCTACCTACCACCAAGGTCACAGAGAGGAAAAGAATACTGAGTTGCTGTAGATTGTGGGAAGAACAAAGCCTGCTCACTGCTTTATGACTTATGGGAGATGTAGTCCTCAGACAGACTGAGCCTGCATTACAGATTGACAATGGAAATACACATACCAATATGACTGGAGCTGTGGAGAGGAAAAGGAAGGTCTTTTCCTGGGCTTGAGGGAGATGTAGTGAGGACATTGTGGGAGACAGACAAGCTGTTAGCAGAACGTTTCGCCATCACATCAGGGATGCAGAGGGGCAGAGTAGTGGACAATTCCTGGTACATGAGAATGGCACTGTTGCTGACTGGGATTGCCAGCTGGGCTGCCACCTGATAATTGGGAAGAACCCCACTGTGCTGACTAGCGCTGCCACTTGATCATTGGGGATAGCGCTACTGCTGCTGACTTTGCTAGGAGAACAGAGGGAGAACCAGATGTCACCCCAGTGAAAGGATCTAGATAACCTCCATTTTGTTAATGTACGCCATTTTAAGTATTAAGTTAGTTTTTTGCAGATATATTAGAAGCTTAATGAAACTGTTTTAGTTGTTCAAGGATGTATCAACAGAAGCTAACATGACCCTGACAATGTCTTTGTCTAGTTGTTTCTCAGAAAGTTAGCCAAAACAATTTGTACCAAGAAACGTATATGTCATGTTTCATGTAGTTAGCTCATGATGGAAATTTACAAGTTACAGTTTTGAAACTCGCTCCCCCCTCCCTTATTATTTCTGTATTCTATTTAATCTTACTAATGTCTAATAAACTTTGAACATCTCTGAACATAAACTGCCGTTATTTCCGTGTTCAAGGGGTGTTCCCAGAATTCTGCTGATAAACCAGGAATCTCTCCACAGACCGGGGGTCTCTGAGGGGATAAAGAAAATCATCCTTTCACCCAGGAGTTGGTGAGAGGCTGCTGGCCAAACACTACTGCACCCATTAAAATGGAAAAGTATTATTTGCTTGGGACACAGTGCAGGCACCTATATCCAGGTTAGGACATACAGAATCCTGAGCTCTCCAATGCTGGATCTGGGCCACAGTGAGCTGGCCAGCAGGTAGAGGGTTTCATAAAAACTGGTAGACTGTTATTGAAAATTATCCTTAGTATAGAGTTTAGGGGCCATTGTCAATACCACTGGCTTACTGCCAACATAATACCCTAATTGCTACTGTATATATTTGTTTTTCAATTGTATAGCCTGATTGCTACTGTTTTATATATCTGTTTGAGGGATTGTTGCTGTTTCCATTTCTCTGGTTGCCACATATCTACAGTATGTATATTGTTTAAAAAAAATCCCCTGTTCAGCCTTGGTGTGTCAAGCAGTGTGGTGCTGCTTGTAGAGTCATGGCCTCTGGGAACAGGCCAGAACAAATAGTGCGTTCTTCAAGGGTTAGCGCTACATTAATTATGCCGGCATTAGATTTGTTGGGAAAATGCATTTGCATATTCAAATTAAATAATTGAAATAATTTTTACTAAACTATTTGCATATGTATTTACATCATAATCACTGAATCAGGAATTTCCCATTTTAATTTTGAGTTTCAGTTTGCCTTTAACACAATGTCAGTGTCATCCTCATGTCACAACTAACACTGATATAAAATATCTTAACCACAATACTATGGGAAATTACAGAGGTACTCTTACTAGTAATTTATGCTATAACAGTATGTAAATACAGATGACTAAGAAAGTATGTTCAGTTTTTTTGCCAATTACACAAAGATGTTCCATTCTGTTCAACAGTGCTAGTTAGACAAATGATGACAGGTGCTGATTTTCACTGCTGATTTCTGTGGGACGTTCTTTAGAAGTGAGAAGATGGCTTTGACACATTACAGTTTCAGTGTCAACACCAGTTATATTTTAAATAATAGGAGCCAGACTAAAAATGTTCCAAGGAATCGATTACCAAAGTGCTATGAACAGTCTGGTATGGTATACTCACTTACTTTAGAGACAAAATGTAGCAGTGAATACTAATTTATGGATTAAACAATATTTTTTATGTTTTCAATCCTAGTGGAGATTTTTCAGTTTTTAATAATTTTCTTGCACAGTGCAGTATTTAAATCAATTCTAATGCTCTTTGGAAAAAAAAAAACTGCAAAGAGCCGTCTCTTTATCTCATTTTGTAATTTGCAATTTTATGGGAAACCTTTACTTAATGAAAAATGTATCTTGACATTTAAGTTTAAAATGCTAGTTACCTGGTTGTCATGCTAATTCATTGGATTAAATTGGACCTTTCAAGAACTACATGAACTGCACAGATATAAGCATTTACATCTGTCATCTCTGAGAAAGCATCTCCGACTAGGAAGTAGATACTAGCCCTGGAAAATGCTTGAATAAAGATGGCTCTGTCATTCTTATAAAAAAGCAGATAAAGCCATTAGAGGTATGTGACCCCTGTGTAGCACTATCGCCGTAGAAGTTACTGAAGTTTGGGTCCCCCTATAGTCCTGCACAGCCAGACAACACAAATTTTCCACAGACTTGCATCCAGTAGGCAGTAACCAGTCCTTGAGCTTGTTTTTTTGGATTTTATTAGTGGAATTCAAACTTAGATGGGTATTTGCTCTTGATCCAGGACACAGAGCAAGTTTTATTTAAAGTGTTACTAAACCCAGGACCCTGCATTCACTATATCTGGTCTCCCATAGTACACAGAACTTTGAAGTGCAGTTATTTAAGTAAGTACAATCTGCTAAATACTTTTTTTCATCAGTAGTTAGAATAGTCTTGTGACTTCTATCAGTGTCCAGCTGAGCACTGGCTAAAGCTTGTAGGAGGAGTTTTCATTCTTCCCTGATTGTCCTATAGGGATGCATAAACCCTGACCCTCTGCCTGGACAGTGCTGATTGGCCCTGTGCTGATCACATGCACTCTCCCAAGAAAAAAAAAAACCCTCTGTAGCCATACACCAAACTGAGTATGTGCAGCTTGCCCCAAGGCTCTGTTCTGATCAGAGAAGACAGGACAATGTGAAGGATTAACCCTTAAGGTTCCACACTGAGTATATCAAACATGCTTTACTGCAAATACGGACTGATTTAACTGTTGGGGGCGGGTTTACTAACATTTTAACCATACCCCATACAAACCTCTTCAATGTTAGTAAACTTTTGCCACAGCCACCATTTGCTGCAGCATGCTACACCTGGCAGCTTTCTTTCTAAACCTCGCAGTCGTTGTGTGACATACTTGGCAATGGTGGTACTGTGTCAAACTGCAACAAAAATGCCAGCACACGTAGTTCCAGTTCATATCTTTACTGGGGTTCCTTTGTTTAGACTAGCATGACCTTTTGGGGACACTGTGGTTCCCTTTACTAAGGAAACAGATAAATAACTAATAGAACTAAGAAATGCAACTTGCAAAAACATCACTGAACGTGGGCAAATGCCATGTGTTTTACTAACGTGCACACTTGCTGACTCCACACAATTACTGTTTTTATGGGGATAAAACTAGATGCTATCTTTATAGTACTGGATTGATGTATCTGTCATTGTCTTTTTAGCTGGCCTGTACAATGTTTTGGATCTATAGCTGCCAATTATGTATTTATGCTGCAAACACTGATACAATTAAGGGTCCCAGGAATCATTTATTATTGATATTTAATCTTTACAGTCTTTATTAATGGAATGAAGTGGTATCTTAGTTCCTCTTTGACTGTTGAAGTATGAAAGCATTTTTGATTATATACTTTGAGAAAATACTGAATTACATTAATTACAATGTACAGGCTTGTAAATAATATGTTGCACATATAGTACATTGGTTGATGATTAGAAATGGGCATGCTGGACATTTTTGTTTTGTTTCGGATGCATTCGTCGTTTGAAGAATTGCATTTCGTCATATTTGCTATGTTGAACCAAATTATTTTGGGGATTTGTTTCATATCTTCGGCATTTGTTTTGTATATACATTGGTCTAGGTGGATTAATAAAATGTAGTAATTTTCCCAGAAGATTGCTATATATTCGATATATTATCAAATTGGTCGGATTCTATTAGAAGGATTCAATATTTTCAGACGCTAATGCAACCCACCAGGAGAAATGGCACGTAAAAGCGGAAGCTCCACTCATTTGCCTCCTCCCCCCCTCCACTACCATATTTTGCACCTTTTGGGAGGGAGTGGGTACCTGGTTTTGATAGGTACCTGCTCCCACTTCTGGCTCAGTTTGCCGTGGTGAAGTGAGGCGGAAGTTCGGCCCCCTCCTGCCTCCCGCGGTCTCCTGGGAACTTTCACAGGTCCCAGAATACTGCTGGACCAAATAGGAGGCGTAGCGTGACTTGCGCATTCTCAGGGGGCACCAGGCTGTGAAGCTGCAAGCTGTCACAGCTTGGTGCCCACAGTTGAGATGCCGGCGCCATGGAGGAAAGAAGGGGAGAAGAGACTGTGTGGGTGAGAACATTACTGGACTCCGCAACAGGTAAGTGTGTGTTTATTAAAAGTCAGCAGCTACAGCTGGATCCCCACTTTAACCACCTCCTGCCCACCATATAGTAATATGACGGGCGCAAGGTGGCTCTCTTGTTCTGGGAGGATGTCATATGACGTCCTCCCATTCTCACTGCGCATGCTTGGCTCAGGGAGCGCGCAGTGCGGCAATCAGCGGTGCGCTGTGTCCCTCGGACACAGCGGATCACCGATCACGGAAAGAGCCGAAGATGTCGGCTTGGTCATGTGATCAGCTGTGTCCAATCACAGCTGATCACATGTAAACATGGAAATGCCGGTTATCGGCATTTCTCTCCTCTCGAGCTGTCACGTTGACAGCTCGAGAGGACAGGAGAGCCGGTAATCGTCTTTCCGCGGAGGGGACATGTACACTGATCATCAGGGCAATGACGATCAGTGTGGCCCCAGAAGTGCCACCTGTCAGTGTCCATCAGTGCCAGCAGTCAGTGCTCATCAGTGCCTCGTGCCAGTGCCCATCAGTGCCACATATCAGTGCCACATATCAGTGCCATGTATCAGTGCCGCCTTTCAGTGTCCATCAGTGATGCCTGTCAATGCCCATCAGTGCCACCTACCAGTGTCTCCTCATCAGTGCCACCTATCAGTGTCCATCAGTGCAGCCTATCAGTGCCCATCACTGCAGCCTCATTAGCGCACATCAGTGAAGGAGAAAAATCACTTCTTTACAAAATTTAATAACAAAAACTAATAAAAAAACTTTTTTTTTTAAATTTTCAGTGGTTTTGGGTTTGTTTAAGCAAAAATAAAAAACCCAGATGTGATTAAATACCACCAAAATAAAGCTCTGTCACAAAAAAATGATTAAAATTCCATATAGGTACACTGTTGCATGACTGCACAATTTTCATTCAAAGTGTGACAGCGCTGAAAGCTGGAAATTGGCCTGGGCAGGAAGGGGGTATAAGTGCCCAGTAGGCAAGTGGTTAACAAATGGAACAAAATTTGGATCCATTCATTATCCAAATTATCAAACAAATTAGAAAATTGAAAACATTTCCCCATGGACCTGAACTACTATCACATCATGCAACATCATCTGCATGAAACGAATCTATTTGTTAATTTCCTTATAAAAATTTTTTTAGATTCATCGACAATCATTACTAGAGATGAGCGAATTATTCAAAAATTCGATTCGACTGATTCGGCGAATTCGTGAAAAAATTTTGATTCGAGTCGAATATATTCACTGCGAATTTAACTTATAAAAGGGTGTTTCTAGGCTTCAGAGAGCCTTTATATTAGTGCAGAACACTGTACCTTTAATTTAAATGCCCTTGGAGTCTGCTGGGGAAGAGAAATAATACTGTCAGTCAGTATGACATGCAGATGAGTGCCGTCGATCTTAGAATCACCGCACACTTCACTCATTTGGGCAGTCACGGGGCCAAAACCAGAGTGTGGAGCCACAGTGTGGCGGTGGAGGCAGCAGCAATGGGAGGCCATACAGCACCCTATGACAAAATGGAACCCACCAGCAGTGTGAGGAGACCTGAAAGTGGCACATGGCAGAGTGTGGCGATGGAGACAGCAGCAATGGGAGGCCGTACAGGGACCCATGACAGACTCTGGACCTGGCCGCAGCATGAGGAGGCGGTACAGGGGCCTATGACAGATTACGGGCCTGGCAGCAGCATGAGGAGTCGGTACGGGGGCCCATGACACTCTGGACCAGGCAGCAGCATGAGGAGGCGGTACAGGGGCGCATGACAGATTACGAGCCTGGCAGCAGCAACTTGGACAGGAGGACGTTCAGCTTCTGCACCGTCGGGTGCGTGCTCGCAAACTGTTGTCTCTTAGAAACGGATTCCAAGAAAGACTGCTGACGGAATCCGTGAAGAGGAGTAGCAGGAGAAGGAGCATCTGAACGAGCGGAAGATGCCAACGAGCGACAACTCCCCTCAGCAGAGGTGTTGGAGCCTTGACTGGCTGATAGAGGGCGATTGACGTCGGGTGACGGAGCAAGTAACGGAGCGGGTGACGGAGCGGGGGCAGGCAGAACCGCCGTATCTTTATCACGGTTTTCCCAGGCCACCAAATGGCGACGCTGCATATGCTGACGCAACGCTGTAGTCCCAACATGGGCCCCCTGGCCACGCCGTGGTGGTAGGCTGCTGCGACCCTGCTGGGAGAGAGAGAAAGAGAGAGAGCGATAACTTACACCTACCTAGTAGATTAAAAGAGGAAGGGGGGAGAGGGCATTAGGGCATTAAGGCATCCGGATGGCAACAAGGTAGGAAGTCATGCATTCCACATTTGAATAAATCCTCCTCCTCCTCATCCTCATGAATCATAAGTATAAACAATATGGGGATCTAGGAATCCAATAATTAATGCCTTATTATCATATTACTAATAATAATTTCCCAGTAACTATATGGGAGGAGGAGGAGGAGGAAACGACGAGGAGGAGGAGAAGGAGAAGGAGAGGACGACGAGGAGGAGGAGAACGACGAGGAGGAGGACGAGGAGGAGGAGGAGGACGAGGAGGACAACGACGAGGAGGAGGACGAGGAGGACAACGACGAGAGGAGGACGAGGAGGACAACGACGAGGAGGAGGACGAGGAGGACAACGACGAGGAGGAGGACGAGGAGGACAACGACGAGGAGGAGGACGAGGAGGACAACGACGAGAGGAGGAGAGGAGGACAACGACGAGAAGGAGGACGAGGAGGAGAACGACGACGAGGAGGACGAGGAGGACAACGACGAGAGGAGGACGAGGAGGAGAACGACGACGAGGAGGACGAGGAGGAGAACGACGAGGAGGAGGACGACGAGGAGGAACGACGACGAGAAGGAGGACGAGGAGGAGAACGACGAGAAGGAGGACGAGGAGGAGGAACGACGACAAGGAGGACGAGGAGGAGAACGACGACAAGGAGGACGAGGAGGAGAACGACGACAAGGAGGACGAGGAGGAGAACGACGACGAGGAGGAGAACGACGACGGAGGAGAGGAGGACAGACGAGGAGGAGGAGAACGACGACGAGGAGGAGGAGAACGACAAGGAGGAGAAGGAGGAGAACGACAAGGAGGAGGAGGAGGAGGAGGAACGGAGGAGGAGAGAGGAGGAGAACGACGAGAAGGAGAGGAGGAGAACGACGAGAAGGAGGAGAACGACGAGAAGGAGGAGAACGACGAGAAGAGGAGAACGACGAGAAGGAGGAGAACGACGAGAAGGAGGAGAACGACGAGAAGGAGGGAGAACGAGAAAGGAGGAGAAACGACGAGGAGGAGGACGAGGAGAAGGAGGACGACGTGAACGATGACTAGGAGGAGAAGAGAACGAGGAGGAAGGAGTACGAGACAATGAGACAAACTGAGTTTATTACTTTATGTAGGAATTTTTTTATGAAGAGGAGGAGAGACAAAGGCCCCCTGATTTACTAAGAACGGGACCAGCAGACGAACATTCAGGTAGAACTCAATTCAAGGAAGGAGGACCTGAGGTCTTCTGAAAGGCGTCTAGGAGGGAAACTCATTGAAAAGAAGTCTACTTGTAGAGAACTCTTTAGGAAAGTTAGAAATGTGGAGGTGAGGCACATTTTTAGGTGCAAATATGAAAGGTGGCACACAACCAAGGGCAACTTTTTTTGAACGACGAATATGAGAATACGACGAGGAGGAAAAAAAGGGGGACCTAGGATTTTTTTTTTGAAAGGAGTTTCTCCAAAATGATCAGACAAATAAGGGGATTTCCTAAGAATGTCATACATTGGATTTTCGAAATGTCAAACATTCACACTTATAGGAGGAAAATAGGGGAGGACTAGGAGGGTAGGAGGATTATATAGGGAAGAAACGTAACGAGGGGGGTGAAAAGAGGAGGAGAACGACGACGAGGAGGACGAGGAGGGAGAACGAAGAGGAGAGACGAAGGAGAGAACGAACGAGAGGGGAAGAAGGAGAGAAAACGGAGGGAGAGAGGAGAGAGGGGGGAGGGGGGAAGAAGGACGACGAGGAGGACGAGGGGAGAACGACGACGAGGAGGACGAGGAGAAACGGACGAGGAGGAGGACGAGGAGGAGAAGGCGACGAGAAGGAAGGAGGAGAACGACGACGAGAGGGGAGGCGGGCGAGGAAAGAAGGACGAGGAGGAGAAAGAGAGAGAAGGAGAAGAGGAGAGGGAAGGGGGGGAAAGGAGGAGGGGGGGAGAACGACGAGGAGGACGAGGAGGATAGGAGCAAAACGACGAGGAACGAGAGACGAGGAGAGATTAGAAAGGGAGAGAGGACGAGGAGGAGGAGAACGAGACGAGGAAGGAGAGAAACGAGAACGAGAGTTGAGGAGGAGGGACGAGAAGGAGAGGAGCGAGGAGGAGGACGAACGACGACGAGGAGGACGAGGAACCCCAAAACGAACTGAGAGAAGCCACGTAGGAACGACGAAAGGAGACCAGACGACGGACGAAAAGGAAAGGAAAGGAACGAAGAGGAGGACAGGAGGAGAACGAGGAGAGGAGGACGAGAAGAGACGAGGGAGGAGGAGAAACGACGACAAGAAGGAGATTGGAGAACGACGACGAGGAGGACGAGAACGACGACCGGGAGGAGGAATGAGAACGACGACGGAGGGAGGACGAGAAAGACGACGAGGAGGACGAGAAGACGAACGAGGAGGACGAGAACGACGACGAGGAGGACGAGAACGACGGGAGAGGAGGACGAGAACGACGACGAGGGGACGGAACGAAGACGAGACGAGTGAGAGAGGAGAACGAAGAGAGGAAGGACGACAGAGGGACGACGAAAGGAGGACGAGGAGGACGGAGGAGGAGAGAGAACGACGACCGGGAGGACGAAGAAGCCCTGAGGACGGAGGTCAGACGAGAACGACGACGAGGAGGACGAGAAACGGGAGCGAGGAGGACGAAGAACGACGACGAGGAGGACGAGAACGAGAGAGGAGGAGAACGAGACGAGAAAGGTGGACGAAAATCGAGACGAGGAGGACGGGAGGAGGACGGAGGGAAGACGAGAACGACGAGGGGAGGTACTGAGAACGACGACGAGGGAGGACGGAGAACGACGGACGGGGACGAGGACGAAACGACGAGCGAGGAGGACGAGAACGACGACGAGGAGGACGAGAACGACGACGAGGAGGAGGCCAACGGACGAGGAGGACGATCAACGACGACGAGGAGGACGAGAACGACGACGAGGAGGACGAGAACGACGGGGAGGACGAGAACGACGACGAAGGACGGAGAACGACGACGAGGAAGGACAGAAACGACGACGGAGGAGGGAAACGAGCGACGATGGAGGACGAGAAAAAGAAGACGAGGAGGACGAGACGAGAGGAGGAGAATGACGACGAGGAGAGACCGAGAACGAAAGAGGAGAGGAAGGAGAACGACGACAGAGGAGGAATTACAGGAAAACACGGACGAGGAGGAGGAGAACAGAACGACGAGGAGAAGGAGAAGGGACGAGAGAGGATCGAGAACGACGAGGGAGGAGGAGAACGGGACGAGGAGGACGGTGAGAACGGAAAAGGAGGAGGAGAACAACGACGAGGGGGGAGGAAAAGACGACGAGGAGGAGGAGAACGAGACGGAGGAGGCGACGAGGAAAAGAGGAGAACGACGACGAGGAGTGAGGAGAACGACGACCGAGGAGG